CATATTTCTGGATCAGCATTACTACTAATTGCTCTGTAAAACATCTGTAAAACACCTGCAACATTATCTTTTTCCGAATTATCTTACCTTACACCACACCATCGCAGAAAAACCTCCGTTAAGCTGCCTGCCCTAGGTATCCCAACAACCAACGAACATTGGCCCAACGAACATTGTATTGCCCATCATTCAACGTAGGCGGCTTGATCTGCTTTTCTGTGTAGGCAGTGGCGTAGCTACAGCCTTGCCAAGGAGGAACACGGTGTTGAAAAACACCCTTCTTATCGTGACCTCACACCTCTAAAAATGCCCGCATATAGTCACGTGTTAACAAGGGACACGGATTTCTTCGTTTTATTGATATTTTTCATTTGAAACCAAAACGGAAAACAGGAGCTACCGTGAGATCAATTCTGTTTGTATTTTGAAATCCATAAACTGCAAAAATCGGGCGTTGAAAGATCGTTTGAAATAAATCGCCGGCACCTTTAATTTACGATGGCTTTGTGGACTCTTTCTGAAACGATAGAACTCAGAAGCTTTGTCTGAATTTCTATCTGCGTTCTATAGACGTTAAGGACATTGCGAAGGGACATTGTAGATTGATATGTCAGATCGTAAGTTGAATATGAAAATTTAATTGTAGATCGAGTAGTCAACAATGTGTATTAACATGATCAAGCCATGCTTAGCTGGAAATGTTCAAGATCCAGTCAGAATCAATTAGTGATACAATTTATGTAACGTGTTTGTTAACATGCACGCTCGCAAATCTTAGCAACAAAAACCTCCACTCCGGGCGTTGCAATCTCCGTATTCCGCACAGCATTAGTCTGGTAGCTAACTTCTAGCTGTGGCTCATCGGTGAACAAAAATTATAATACTTCTGAAATAATTACCTCTAGACACTTGCATCGATTAGTGATACCAATTATGTGACATAACTTTGAGCATGCGCACGCGCAAATCTTAGCAACAAAAACTTCCATGCCATGCGTTGCAGTCTCCCGATTCTGCGCGGCGTCAGCCCAACAGTAAATACTAAACTGTGGCTAACGGGTGTTTGCAAATTAGGACGTTTTTGAAAGAAGTACCTTGGAGCATTTCAGGGCATCGAATCTTACATTTAGAAGACAGTCTGGGCGCATATTTCACGTGCGCGGTTTCTAGATTGACGATAGGAATGGATTGGCACCTAAAACACCACAAAGCGATGGTGGAATCTGGCGGGGGAATTGAAAGAAAAAAGTAAAATCTTTATTTTTCGTGTTTCAGTAGCTATTAATCTGTCCAGAAGACATATTATCACGGCGCCCGCCATCTGGTGACACTTGCAGTGGCCGATGCCGTTCGGTTTCACGGAAGCCGCAACCCAGGCCATCACTATCATTGCACTCGTGGTTGCATGCTGACATCTCCAAACATGTCTGTATAATTTGTTTTAGGCTTTTCCAAGTTTGGCGTATTGGACTTCGCTGCAATACCCCGAAATGGCTAATGTGTGTTTTGAGATCAAGACGGTGACCTGCGGTCACCATTTTCAGCGTATGCCCGTTTTCGATTGGTGTTGTTATGGAGAAAATTTTTGCAACGGTGCCTGAGTGTTGTTGGTTGCATGGATGGAGGCGAGGTGGCGCAATGCACACATAGACTCTCTAAGTCTGTCTCTGAGATCGACAATAATTCGACAAAGTCTGTCTCTGAGATCGACAACAATTCGACAAAGTCTGTCTCTGAGATCGACAACAATTCCACCCACATTCAATCACAGATGTCATGTGCTGGGTTCATAGGCGTAGGAACGTTTAAAAAAAAATGGGGGCAAGCTCAGGGCGTGCCTCAGGAACTTTTCTGTGAAGGCAACCCGAAGACCGGGGAGAGGGGACTCTAGATGGAGGTTGTTATCGTTCTTTATTCAAATTCCATGGCTGTTTTCCTAGACATGCATCTAGAGCTGTTTCCCACTGGTGCACAATTTTGCCTGTTCGACTCGTCAATGTCATTCGGCTTATAAGGCTGTACAGCTTCCCAGAATTAGTCGTCCATTTCAACATTGTCTTTCATGGGGAGGCGAAATTCTACGCCCGGATAGGCATTTTGGGTTATTGAGGAGGCATCTGCCTCCACAGGGTAAATGCCAAAATACGGCTTGGACGTAGGTTGATGAAAATTTTGAAAGCGAATCGATGTCTCACAGTGCGACAAATTTTGTATGCGCCTTCACTTTGCTGGCTGATTTTCAAGAGTTAAGACTTGTCGCAACTTTTTAGACGGCATCAAATTCGAAAGCCTGGAACTGTCAAAAGCAGTGCGACAAAAGCCAAACAACTGGAAATTCTCCTTTAAAATCAAGCAACAGAATGAAGACCTCTCTGTCATATATTCCTTGCCTGGGCCCCGCTTGCATGCTGACATCTTCAAACATGTCGGTATAATTTGTTTTACTGATTCATCCTGAAAAAATGAGCGTTCTCAGGTAAATATGGGATAGCCTTATTCGTTTTTTTATAAAACTTATCTCAATGCACCATTCAGCAAGAATGAGGCCATCGCTCTACTCAACAAAATTAAGACCCCTTATTTCCTTCCAGGCAAGGGCTCACGAGTACAACACCCAGCGCACATTAACGCTTCAGGTCAAGGGCTGAAGGGCCATTCCGTCCCATCGCAAAGTGCCTTCTGGCTGTCATTCTAGTGACACGGGGCGAGATCTCATGATCGATCCGGAGGCCATTGGAAGGATATATCATAGCAAATTGTTTCCCTCTCTGACACGGTAGCCTTCTGACCCGCGCAGTTAGCCCTGTATCAGCACAAAACCCCTCACTGACGCAGCAACATCCCTGATCGCCGCAGGGATCCTATAATTGTCGCATAAACTCCGGATTCATGTTTTTTTATGTTCTTCAGAGATATTGAGGACTCCCTGAACGTAGCTTGTAGATGACATGAAGGTCTCAAATTCGTATTGGCATATCTAATCTATGTTCGTCTTAAAATGTTCAAGATTCAGTCAGAATTGATCGCTGATAAAAACTATGTAACCTGGTTTGAACATGCAAGTCATAGCAACAACAGCCTCGATACCCGGCGTTGCAGTCTCCATAGACCGCGCGGCGTCGGCCCTGTGGCTGTAACATTAAGTGGTGGCCAATGAGCAACCGAAAAAGATGACACGTCTTGGGGAAGATGGCTGGTGAACTAGGGAAATCGGCATGTTTAATGTAGTGCAAAAGTAAGAAAAACACAAGCTTGATCTGAAAAGTGGGGGGGGGGGGGGCAGTCCACCTTGAAAAGTGGGGGCCATGGCCTCCCTCGCCACCCTGTTCCTTCGCCCACGGCTGTGTTCACGTAAAACTGTTTGCGTGTGTAGAAAACCTATCGCGCGTCTTGGCAGGGGAGTGAGGCGCAGTGCTGCCATCTAATCGGTATGAGTGGCTGCTGCGACATCTTCTAGCTGTTGTTTGAACTAGGTGTGGAAGTCGGGTGGCGCACAGTGGCGCGTATAGACTATACATCTACAACAATTTTTCAAAGTATGACATAGTTTGTATGCCTAATGCCTTTCTGGATAAAGAACTTGGGGTATTAAGTTTTTAACGGCAAGAGTTCTTTAAGGAAAACGTACGTACAGATAAGTTCGCATGGTGTAATGGTCGTCGGGAAAAAGTTCGTAACGAAAGCGGTCTTCCGCGGAAAAGTTCGAATTGACAAAGGACGTAAAAACTGTATGCACGTGGACGTCAGAAATGGCACGAACTTTAGTCAATGAGAATGTTTGGTTGTCAAAATAATATCAACAAAGGCTCGTATTCTGATATGTGATGTAAGTGCACAAAGTTTGTGGGGAAATGTTCGCCACGAATGAAGTCAGTTTAGCAGTATCACGCTTGCAAAACTTCGTAGGCATCTTTTTAAAGCGATGTATTCAAATGGGGGACTGTTGGGTTCAGAACATTCGCCAATCATAGGGAGATAAGATCCCAATAATGCGTTCTCATGTGATCGCACTCTTACGTGGTGACCTTTTGGACACAACGATGTTATTGCCTCATCTCCAAATGTCAATCTGATGTTATCGCGGGATCACCAGCCCAGGCTGACGTCTACTTTCGAGTTCCGATTCTTGGCAGTTTCCTTCTTCGTTGCGTAAGTTTTCGACTTAATTCATTGGGGGACTTTACAAAGTATACTGTACCCGAGCGTGGCACATTTACCTTAAAACGTTTGCGTGGTTCACCATTCCAAATCGCCCTTTACCTGATAATTTGCGTGAGGTCTGCTCTAACAGCAACATTGGCTCGTTTTCATTCGTCTTTGCACTAGACACTGCCTCTCCCTCAGCTGTGTACAGCATTATGCGCCGGAGGGTTACAGGTCACTGGCGTTTTCACTTTGTCGCGTGTTTGGCCCGCCTACCGGTTGCCCAAGATAAACCCTCGCAGTATGCCATTGGTATGTTGAACATACTGTGCCGAAGTCGAGCTCGTTCCCACGCTAAGGAGTGTGTCACACCGTAGCCATGGTGTGCACCTGTGTGTGTACATGGCCTTGGCAGACCTGTTACGTCCACGAATTAATTTGCCAGTCAGCCAGTTGCCGCTATCCCAAACCTCAACTTGCATGTGTTCAGCTCTGATTAATTTATCAAGCGACACTGGGAGGAGAAGGTGAGATGGTGAGAAGACGTCTGAGCTCTCCGCCTAGATACTGCTATTTTGGCGAGGTCCCTGTGCATTATGAAGTTTTCGTTAAGAATCATCCAGCTTTAGGCTATTTTATGATCAAAAGTCACATGCTGGTGTTATCTGGGATACTTCAATAGTAATATGAGCTCGTTTTACATCGCAATGATACACCGACATTTATGTATTATACTAATGCTAATACGCTTCGTAACTGTTCCATACAGCTACAACAATTTATCGCCCTAAGAGGATTTGACGCCATGGTCAGGAGCACTGCCGTTTTCAATATGAGGAACCACAGTGAAGAACGGGGCTCAGTGGCCGCGACCGCCTAGGCGTTCCCAATCCTCTAATCGTACGAACATGAGTTGTCAGCCCAGCACGTAAAAGAACGGATAGCGCTGTCCTGTGATCTGTTTTCCACATTGTGCAAGGGATTGAATATCATTGTGATATGACATTGACCGTTTTCGAAGCCGAACAGCTTTAGCTTTTAGCCATATATGTGCACGTTATTTCCGTTTTCATCTTGGTACTTTACCTGGGAATTCGCTAATGCATGCGTGCCCAAGCCCAACACGAGGTTTATTCGGGAGGCCTCAAAAGGGTTGACATCATGCACCAATATGCCCACGTTAGCATTGGGCACGGGCAACGCAGCGCCGACGATGATCCAGTCCACACACAGATGGCATTACTCGTGGACCGCTCTTAACTCGGTGACATCCATCTTGTCGGTGGGCTTCTCCCATCGTCGAGTCTCGACGTCTTCGATGGTCTCGGGCAGCCGCCGGCCGCGCGTCTCTGGCAGCAGAAGTACCACCTGAAACAGACACCACCAGGTCATAACGGTGTCGTCCGTCGCACGGAGTAGGAGTGGGTGCCAGCGCTGCACCTCAGCTGGGAGTGGGTGTCAGCACTGGTACCACAGATGGGAGTGGGCGCCAACGCTGCACCACAGCTGAGAGCGGGTGCTAGCGCTGCACCACGGCTGGGAGTGGGTGCCAGCGCTGCACCAAAGCTGGGAGTAGGTGCCAGCACTGCACCACAGCTGGGAGTAGGTGCCAGCGCTGCACCACAGCTGGGAGTAGGTGCCAGCGCTGCACCACAGCTGGGAGTGGGTGCCAGTGCTGTACCACAGCTGGGAGTAGGTGCCAGCGCTGTACCACAGCTGGGAGTAGGTGTCAGCGGTTACAAGAGTGGAGGCTGGTTGGCTTCTTTGCTTAGTTCGTCATCGCCATGGAGAAGCGCATTTTATTGTGATAGGGATGTCTTTGGTTTAGTTGTGGCTTCAGAGGTTTTCGTATGATCGGGTGGTTTGGTTCGCCCTGAAAAAGTCCCCTGACTCATTGAAAAGGAGGTTTGCAGAATGTGACAGACAGAAGCGCTAACTAGATCTGCCCATGGCGACGCTGGACAGAGGTGGCAACACTGCTGGTACAGAAGCGGTGACTAGATCTGCTCACGGCAACACTGGACAGAGGTGGTGACGCTGCTGGAACAGAAGCGGTGACCAGATCTGCTCACGGCAACACTGGACTGAGGTGGCTGCATCGCTGGCTAGGACCCAGTTCAAAAAGCAATCTCTTTGAATCGCAGGGATCCCTGTTATATCATTCGTTCGACTTACTGGATGAAGTCCTAGTACTGTACTCTGTTCCACTCACGGGATGATCTACTGAAGTAGGTTTACAACTGCGGCAAGGGTTTCTTTCAACCATCCCTTCATCGAACCGAACGAAGCGAAAAAGCAGCATCAAAGCGACCAAACGCCACCAGCCGGCCTGTAAATTCAGCCTACACGGGAGGTCAGCGCCGACGCCACGTGCCGTCGTCACTAGTGACGGCACCTCCCGAGCAGCCGGCTACTGACCAGCACGCCGGTGATGGCGGCCACGCCGAACACGCAGCTGGGCAGCGACCAGTGCACGGGCGCCAGCAGGTCGACCACATACGGCGCGACCACGGAGCCGAGCCGGCCCATCGTCACCAGCCCCAGGCCGCCGTTGCGTAGCGACGTCGGGGTGAACTCGAGCACGTAGAGGTACACGATGCTGTATACGGCCGAGATGAACATCTTGCCGGTGATGGCCAGCAGGAGCTTGGGCCAGGCGAGCGCGGCCGGCACCGCCAGGATTGCCAGGATGGCCAGGGCCGTGAGCAGCAGCAGGCCACAGGTGGTGGGCCGGCGACCCAGGCTGGCGGCACGGTCAGCGACGTCAACACGCGGGTGTCGACAACACGGGGTCACAGCGGTCATGGAGTTCACTGGGCTGAAGAGAGCGGTAGGTAACGCAATCACTATCAGCGTTTAGAATTTATCTGAATGTTTCGGTGAAAGACAGCTGATGTGCTACGGCCAGCTGGGCCTCCGGCGGCCGCTGTGTGGCTGGCTGCGAGTCGCAGGCCGGGGGCTGCCTCACCGGTTAATGAGTGGGGCGCCGACCACTTTCACTGGGATTGCCACCAGACCGGAGAGGAAGACGGCCAGGTACGGGCTGCGGCTGAGCTGTGCCGAGTCGAACTGCACGCCGTAGTAGATGGCGTTGGTGATGGCGAACACCCAAATGGATGCCAGCATGCGGCGGCGCATGAGCGGCGTCCCCAGCAGGTGGTGGGCGGGGCAGGCGGCGCCCAGCCACGCCCAGAAGCCGGCCCCTTCGGCCTGCTGTCCGTCGTGGCACGCCCTCAGCAGGTCCAGCATGTGCTCATCATCGGGCAGCGTGCGACCGTTAGCCGCAGCCGCCCGCTTGAGCACGGCGAGCGCGTCAGCGTGCCGGCCGCGCTCGGCTAGCCAGCGTGGCGACTCGGGTAGCAGCCATACGTAGACCAGCACCAGCGCGTACGGCAGCGAGATGGCCAGCTGCAGGTAGCGCCAGTCCCGCACTAGGTACGCCACACCGGGCAACGCCATCAAGCCCAGGTTGTACGGAATCACGAAGAGGATGCCGGCGGTGGCGCGTAGCTTTGGTCCCGTCGCCTCCACCGTCAGCGTGAAGAGCGTGCTAAAGATGCCAGTCAGCGCGCCGACCAGCATCCGCAGCGCCAGGAACACGCCGTAGTGTCGGCTCAGCGCCACGCTGCTGGCCACCAGCAGCTGGACGGCACTTCCGTAGAGCGATACGCGACGCCGGCCGAACCGATCGCTGAGCGCGCCCAGCACCGGGTAGCCAAGCAGTTTGCCCAACATGAAGGACGCCTGCACGGTGGAGAGGAGCCAGCGGCGACCGCACACCAGCGACCACTCGGTGACGATCGTCGAGCGGTACTGGCTGGTGTCGAACTGCCACGCGTGGCACGGTTCTTCTGTGTCGTTACCGGGGCGGCTGCAGCTACCGAAGCGCTGTACGGCATCTGACGCGTTCACCGCTTCGGGAAGGCTGCTGTTCTCCGCCGGCCGGCACCAGTAGTCGGGTGTGGCGCCCAAGAAGATACTACCGACGTTGTGGAAGGCGGAGAGCGCGCCGATGGCCGAGGTCAGCAGCAGGAGGCGCCACTGCCAGCGGCCGCCGCCGTCGCACAGCGCCAGCACCGCCTCGAACGGCGGCTCGGCGTCGGGCGCTGCCTCCTGCCGGTCGGTTCGGCATGCCTTCGGTCCGTCCTTCTCGGGGTCGGTCTGCGTCGGCTGGTCCGGCCCGGGATGGACGCCGTTCGCCTCAGTCTCCATGACGTCGCCTCTGTCGAACGTTGCGCCGCCGCCGCCCACTGCCACCTCGCCCTCAGTCAGCGTGTGCTGGCACGCGCTCTCCGCCACGGCCTGCTAAACGACGGCTCAGTGGCGCAACTGGGCGCTCCGTTCGGTGTTCGGCGGCTGCTCTCCGTACTACGCTGTCCGCACCGTGCGGGGTCCGCTCGGAGCGCCGGCCAGCCTTGACGCCGTGCTGTGTTAGCTGGCGCCTGGCCAGCAGGCCCGCTGTACTGCTGATCGCTATGCTGTTTGACGCGACACTTTATTTGTACTTCGCTCACGACCACGGCTGCCATGTGCCGGCGTAGTGCGCAGGGACTTCACGCCGTGGCCTGGGTGAAGGATATGTAGAGAGTTGGAACTATTGTGGCGGTTGACTGTTTGTTTGAACATTCAGGGATGCGATCGCATTGCCGTTTAGCGCTTATAAGTAATGTACTCGTTTTGGACAATGGGGAGAAACTGCCCAACAAATTGTCCGGATGACTGGACCAAGCGCCTGCTGTCATGCACTGTAGATCTGGAGAAAGCGTTGTGTCGCGTAAGAAGTCTGCTGCAACGCAGCGTGGGTTGCGGGCGCGAATGGCAGCGAGGTCTCCGTCGTAGCAGCACCAATAGCGATTATGGCGCAGACGGGCTGGAGCGTTGATAGGCCGACAACTGGTTTGTCGCTGCTGCCGGCCTGCTTCTCGTACGGCCGGCGGAGCTCAGTGAAGGCCGCGACGACAGGACCTCTCAGATGGCTCTGACTGGCGCACCGGTGGGCTCCACACTCAAATTATCGGAACATTCGTGTGCCCTCGGCTCGGACACGGCTTTAGCAGATGGCGTGGCGGTTGGTCGGCGTTTGCACTAATGTCTGTGCTATGCTGTATAAGAGCCTCTAACGCTGGCTGTCACTTTGACGTCACTAACTGCATAATCCCGCCAGTCGTATTTGTGGCGGAAGCGGTAGTGGGTTTACCGAGTCCGGTGCGTCCTGTTTACTCTGTCGCCTGCATTTGTATCTTGCGACATTACGGCTTTTCATAACTTCGATAGATTCAGTATGCAAGACGGCGTCTGTGAATGCAGGCCTAGTTGGTTGGCTTCATTAATAGCCCTTATGAGGTTCCACTTTGCTGGCATGCTGCTGTCCTTGACTTGTTTATTTGTTAACGCCCGTCCTCCCCATGGCCGGTTGGTGCAATGCCCCCAACATATTTGCTAACACTGCAATATTTGCTAGCACAGAGATAGCGGCGCATTTAAAGGCGCCAAAGCTGCTCCATCCGCCCCGGTATGCCTGTAGACCGCGCCACTCGACCGAGGATTCCATGCTCGCGCGCAGTCGAACGCCTGGTCAACATCAACGACGGCTCTGTATCGTCGGCAACAACGATCGAGTTGTCAAAGAGGTTCGATAGCGTCGACCACGACGTCCTCCTCATCAAACGGTCTTGCTACGGCGTTATCGATGTGGGATGGTTTAGGAGCTATTCGGGTGGTCGAGGGCAGGGGGCGCACAGAGGGCGGCTCAGTCTCCCCGTGCCATGCGGTGTGCCCCAGGGCTCGATCATCGCTTCAGTTTTGTTTATTTTGTTTGCCAATGATGTATATGGATATTTGATTTATGACCGCGTCATATCCTACCCTGACGACACCATGCACGCGGACTGCGCGCCCCCTGACGGACCGGGTCTCGCCAACCTCACAACCAGGCTTGAACTTACCATGCGTGGGCTTCAGAATTCTTTAGTGCCGGCAAAGTATGTCTTTGTTTGATACGATGAGCAATGCTGTTCGTTCAGTTAAACACTGCAAAGGGGGCCCGGGTCAAAAGGTAGAGCAGTAGATAGTGTCCATGATAAAAAACGAGCTAATCATTGAACACGGTCCTACGATGCTGCGGCATCCGGGTGGCATAAGCCAACAGCACAATGCACGCCTTTTAGTCATGATTCATAAACGCAACGAGGCACGAAGACAAGAAGTGTAGGCACATCACAAGTTGCGCACGAAATCATCCCAAAGCGCTTTGAAAGGTATCTGCTCATAATACTTTTGTAACGTTGGTAACATTCTATTGCAAACCTATTTGCATCGCCGCGATTTTTTGAGCGCGCATCTCTTGACGGTTTCTTCCCCGGCGAACGGCATGGCTATCACGGCCCAAGTTCGCCCCTGTACGCCGCGCTGCTTTGTTCTGCAACGCTGAGGTGGGGCCATCCCAGAAGCACCGATGGGCATGCTTTGCCTTTGTATAATTGTGTGCAAAATTGATGTCATTGTGCGCTTTACATACACGTCCCGTTTGAAGCACAGGTGCAAGCCTGAACGCGCTTAAGACTGGGAGTGATGCCTGGGTGATCATGGTCCGCCAGTCATGCAATGAGCCGCTGCCGCACTCTCTCCGCCCTACCCGTGCATCTTCGCTGCTCGTCCCCAGGCCGCCGTTATGTCCACAGCCATGTCTGAGAACCTGTGGAAACGTCATGTCAACTGATGATCGGGCTGCGACCTAGCCTGTCATGGTAACCATGTGACAGTTATGTTGGCATGCGACAGAAAACGTTGTGATATCGTTTTTAATGCATCTAAACGCCACTGGGAGGAGCATGAAGTGTGTCCTTGACCCGGCAGGTTGTGGGATGCTGCAGCGCCCGTGCAAAAGAGGGCAAGGGCAACGTGGAAGGCTCTTTAGCATTCGGATTGACCTGGCAAGTGGACGCGTTGGGCCTTCGCAATAATGTTACGCTTCTGGTCGGCGTAATGAGCCTCAAAATGTCCCCCAACCACCACCCTCTCAACCAGCGAAGAATTAACTTTGTCTGGAGTCTGTGGAGCCTATGGGCCCCTTGGAGGACAAAGGAGGGCGCGGTTCCGTGCTCCCTCCCCTCCACCTCTAGACCCGCTACTGACCGGATCAGCCTAGCAGAGGGGGTCCCGACAAGAGCACATGAACATCCGTTGAAATAAGAAGTACCCAAGACACAGCATGTAGAACCCGAAATGATCGAGTGTTCACGAGCAGGTTAACGGACGAAGGTCTCCGACAAGAACATGGAGTCTCCCATTCAAATGATCACTACCCAGACACGTTGTGAAGGGCCCCCAGCGATTAAGTGCAGCCTGAGCAGGTTAACAGATAGTGCCCCCGATAAGAGCGTGTGGCCCTCCATTCAAATAAGAAGTGCCCAAGACCACGTGTGGAGGGCCCGAAAGATCGAGCGTACCCAAGCAGACTATCAGTTGGCCCTCGACGGGAGCGTGTGGCTCTACATTCAGGACCCCGCATCAAGTAAGTGACAAAGAATTGGAAGGGCTCTAGATTAATGAAGAAAATCCATGGGCCATGTAGTTGGTGTGTCAGTAGGCTAACCGAGACCAACGTGATAGGCTCCTGAGCAAACAAGAATAGCCCGGCATGTTGACATATGGGGCTCCGCCTGTAGGGTATAAAGCCTTTGGCGCGAATGAAAAGAAGCCGTGGAAGGCCCCTGATTAACAAGAGCACCCGGCACACTAGCAGGAAGGGCTCCAGTAAAAGTGCAGGGCCCTGCGAGCAAATCCAAAGAAATCAAGGGCAAGATAAAAGGACCCTTAACGACTGGATTGTGTCCACAAGTGGACATATTAGGGCCACCGGAAACAGCGTATGGCGCCTAGACAGCGCAATGAGCGTTAAAACCTCCCAATCACCTCAGCTCGCGGCTGTTATTGGTCGTCTGGAAGTCCACAAACGTTCAATTTGGTTGCGCTTGTGTAAAGGCGTCGTCTGTTTTGCTACCTATGGACCCTTTTAGAGCCTATGGGTCCCTTCGGGACCCAAAGGAAGGGCGTGACCCCGCATCCCTCGTCTGGATCCGCCCCTGCTTTTTAGTGGCCTGGTAGCCGGTGAAATCGTAGACGCCGCGTCGAAGTGGCGTATTGCACAGGCTCCCTAATATGGTAACACTCGTGGGATCTGGTAATGCGCCACATGTACCTCTCTAGTTTCATTTAAAAACTAGGGCACCCTGTGGGTGCGTGCTACTCGTCGCTACGGGTAACCGGGGCTGTATCGATTAGGTGTCGATCGCCTTTTAGTATCCTGGTATAGACTGGTGTCGTGCTTCTGTGCAGTTTTGACTCATTTTTGCTAGGAGAATCGAGCGGGCGTGACGTTATTTCTCCCTCCGCTAAGGTAAGCGAGTACGCTTGTGCGTGTTAAGTTGAGGCCGAGTGTCTGTGCCTATGAAGTGCATCGAAAGTATGTTGGTACATGAAATGTACATACATCTTAGCATTACTCAGGAGGCGTATTCAATGACCCAGTGCGTAATGGAAGAGAAACATAGACAAATTTGACATCTGTTCTTGGACAGGACTGACAAGTCCTGAATGCCCTGCAGAATGCCTACATATATCTTAATAGCTGTCCAGGCCTGAAAAAGTACCACAGTATTGCAAGACATGTGTTTCCATCCGTGACAGTGTAGTCTGGCTGCACTTAAGCATAGTCTGGCTGCACTTATGTGTGTTGGTGAGGTCTGAGTTATGAGTGGGCACAGATAAGCATCAAACTTGACATTGAAGACAAAATGTTGAAAAAGGATATTGAGAGATAACCTATGACAAACTATGGCTCAGCTCATTTATATCTTCAGACATGCATAAAAAAACACTCACATTCTACTAGGCACAATGGTGTCCTCTTCACAAATGAAATTGAAATTGCTCAGACTGCTTGCGATCTTGAAAAAATTGCATTATGTTATAGTATGGTTCATTGCTGAGGCATGTCCTTTTTGCCATGGTCAACAATTCTGGTGGTCAGAAGTATGGACATCAATTTTTGTTGTATTGATACTCGGCTCAGACCTTAAGGGGCATGCAAAAACATTGGGTTGCAAGGTGATCTTGGAAACATGTTTTGCTTGGCAGTGCTTAAAATCAAGCATCACATCACAACTTTTCCAAAGTTGGAACTTGGTTGAATGGTTGCAATATGAGAACATATGTTTGCTCACCCTTTTTGACTCTCCCAGCCCTCATAATGCTCTTAACATGGTTGTTGTGTGAAGATGTTTTTGCACATTTCATTCCAATTATTTTGCAGTATTTCAGCCTTAACAATACATTTAATGGATTACAACACTAGCATTAGAGGTATCTTGTGCAAACTGCAGGTGGGCAGAAAGCAAGGTTATTTTTACTTGTAGTAGGGCAAAATGATTGCTTGATGACCTTAAGTCTCCCTCTGGGCTTTTGCTGGCAGAAATTTTGCATATCCATCAGGCTGGGCAGGCCAGTTGTTCTGAGACTTGCACTGGATCTACAGCATGTACCTGGTTGCAAGAACAACTGTAAAGTAGCCTGGCTGGTCAGGTGCAGGTCACTATAGTCATTACCAATTCCAAAGATGCTTTTCTATGCTACTTAATTGTCCCATTCATTCATCTTTTTCTGGGATCAACACCAATTCCACCCATATTAAATCACAGATATAACGTGCTGGAGGCAGGCAAAACTGCATGCGTAAAAAACCTCGTGCGCGTCTGGCTAAGTGAGTGCTGGAACATGGTGCTGCCACCTAGTCAGTGCGAGTGACAACAGCGACATCTGCTGGCGTAGGTATAAATAGGTATGGAGCTCGGGCTGCATACAAAAGTACATCTAGAACACGTACGCTTGACAATGATTCGAAGGATAAAGTTCGTGTACCTAATGCTTGTCTGGGTAAAGAACATAGAGTACTAAGGTCGTAACGGTAAAAGTTTGTTAGAGAAAATGTGCGTATAGATATCGATCGTTCGGTGTAATTTTCGTCGGGAAAAGTTCGTAATCAAAACGTTCATAAGCGCAAAAGTTTGTTATAACGGCCGTAAGCAATTGTATATACGGAGATGTTAGTAATAGGGTAAATTTCAGTCGCAGATAATATTTATTTCACAAAGAACGTAAACAAAGGTTCGTATCTTGATATATGATGTAATTTTTCACAAGTTTTTCGTCGGTGCTCGGCCACCGCGCTGACGAACGCAAATGTTCGTCGGCGCCGAAGGCTGTTGGACAGAAGCACGTTTGCAGGACATCGCACGCATCTTTTTTATTACAATTTGTTCCGAATTGTTCTGCGTGGGTGACATTTGGGGAACATGCAAGTTACTTAACTTGTTGTAACGTAACTTACTACTTGTAAGTTACTCAAGCGTAACTTATGTGTTCCCGGAACCCACCATCCGAGTCGTGCCATAAAGTTCGATGGATAATTGTGTTTCCGCCCTTTTGTTAACTGTACGTCGGAATACAGATATTCATCCTTCATGCCGGTGTGAGAGGTGTGAGAGGTGACGGTGTGCAGCGACATTTGCGTATGCCAGGTTAAATACCATGACAAGCTCATCCTTTCATTATATGAAAGAAAACGTCTTTTGGTGGCCACTAGATGAGCCCCGTCAATGGTAGTCGTACGACATGAGCCAGAGATTGAAGGAGCCGGAGTTTAAAGCAAAGAAAAAGAATTGTCCCACAATTCACGTGTCGTGTTTGTTGTGTTACATCCCCTGCCCCCACCTGCCACCCCCACCCTCTTGACGACGCCACTGTCGACATCTTCGCCCGATTACTTCTGAGGGTGGTAACGTATACGAGTGGCGTATATTCGTAGGCTGGTGGGGCGCTGCACGACCTACTGCAGTCAGTGCGCCCAAAACCCCCAATCATCACCATAATCGTATGGCGGTAGCGTCAGGCAGACGGGTGCTAGTGACTCGGTATACGATTGTTTAACAAATAAAGTCGGTGTCCCGAGAGAAGGATGCAATAACTGGACCTGCTTTGATACCCCGTTGGATTAGTCCCGTGTGACACCCTGTGTGACTAATCCAACGGGGTGTCCCGTTGGACACCCCGTTGGATTAGTCCCATTTGCACCCAACCCAACGTTGCCCGAGAGTACCATTTTTTTTTTACTGCACGCTGAAAAACAAACAAAATTTCAGCGATCTTTGAGAGCTGACGGTGTATGATTTGGTACCCTGGTGGTCGAATTGGTTGGTAGTGGCCCTTGGTGGTTTGGTACCTTGGTGGCGGAAGTGAAGCACTCTCCATGGGAAGCACCACCCACCATCCCGAAGTGACTAATGCCCATGTATCGCCATATGCCATGTCACTTACGCCCTGCTCACGAGCTTTTACGTACGTAATTTTGTCAAGCTAACTATATGTTACGAACATTTGTATGCGTTCAGTTAGTTGCGACCAATTCTTTGTGTATTTCTCTCATACAAACTGTTGTCCTGATGAACATTTTTATCAATACGAATATTTTCCATGCGTATTTTACAGCATACGAACATTTGCTTACGAACTTTTGGGTACAGACTTTGGCTTTCTTACTGATGCCTTAAGAGCGTTGTACTTAACGTACATGTGCTTACGAACAGTTGTGTGCTTACTTTATGCGCACATGCATATTTCTTTACGTTGACCCTGACATCGCTCACCAGGAACGAGCGCCATCACGTTTTGAAATACGTTTTGGAGGTTTCGGAGTTGTCAGAAATGTATATTTTGCCAGCCCTCGCAATGACGGGTGGAAGGGACAGTTGTCCGCAAACGTGTCAATTTTGGTGGCCTCAATTTGATTTGTTTTTCAGTTTTATTCGGGAGGCCTCAGAAGGGTTGACATCATGCACCAATATGCTCACGTTAGCATTGGGCACAGGCGACGCAGCGCCGACGATGATCCAGTCCACACACGGATGGCATCACTCGTGGACCGCCCTTAACTCGATGGCATCCATCTTGTCGGTGGGCTTCTCCCATCGTCGAGTCTCGACGTCTTCGATGGTCTCGGGCAGCCGCCGGCCACGCGTCTCTGGCAGCAGAAGCACCACCTGAAACAGACACCACCAGGTCATAGCGGTGTCGTCCGTCGCACGGAGTAGGAGTGGGTGCCAGCGCTGAACCAGAGCTGGGAGTGGGTGCCAGCGCTCACATCACAGCTGGGAGTGGGCGCCAGCGATTTCAGGAGAGCGGGCTGATTGGCTTCCTTGCTTAGTTTGTCATCGCCATGAAGAGGCACATTCTATGGCGATGGCGATGGTTTGTTGTTAAGTTGTGGCTTCGGAGGTTTTCGTATGTCCCGGTGGTTTTGTTAGTCATGGCAAGGTTCCCTGACTTCTTGTAAAGAAGGTTTGCGGAATGTGACAGACAGAAGTGATGGTCAGATCTGCTTACGGTAACACTGGACAGAGCTGGTGACACTGCTGGCAGGACTCAGTTCATCATGTAAGGTTTTTGAATCGCAGGGATCCCTGTACTATCCCTCGTTCTGTTCACTGGGTGAAGTCCTTGTACTGTACTCTGTTCCACTCACGGGTGATCTACTGAAGTAGGTTTACAACTGTGGCAAGGGTTTCTTCCAGCCATCCCCTCAGTGAACCGAACGAAGCGAAAAAGCGGCATCGAAGCGACCAAAGGCCACCAGCCGGCCTGTAAATTCGGCCTACACGGGGGGTCAGCGCCGACGCCACGTGCCGTCAACACCAACCAGTGACGACACCTCCCGAGTAGCCGGCTACTGACCAGCACGCCGGTGATGGCGGCCACGCCGAACACGCAGCTGGGCAGCGACCAGTGCACGGGCGCCAGCAGGTCGACCACATACGGCGCGACCACGGAGCCGAGCCGGCCCATCGTCACCAGCCCCAGGCCGCCGTTGCGCAGCGGCGTCGGCTGTGAACTCGAGCACGTAGAGGTACACGATGCTGAACACGGCCGTGATGAACATCTTGCCGGTGATGGCCAGCAAGAGCTTGGGCCAGGCTAGCACGGCCGGCACCGCCAGGATGGCCAGGATGGCCAGGGCCGTGAGCAGCAGCAGGCCACAGGTGGTGGGCCGGCGACCCAGGCTGGCGACACGGTCAGCGGCGTCAACACGCGGGTGTCAGCAACACAGGGTCACAGCTGTCATGGCGTTCACTGGGCTGAAGAGAGCGGTGGGTAACGCAATCACTATCGGCGTTTCGAATTTATCTGAATGTTTCGGAGAAAGACAACTGATGTGCTACGGCCAGCTGGGCCTCCGGCGGCCGCTGTGTGGCTGGCTGCGAGCCGCAGGCCGGGGGCTGCCTCACCGGTTGATGAGTGGGGCGCCGGCCAGGTTCGCCGGGATTTCCACCAGACCGGAGAGGAAGA